TTTCAAGACGCGGCCGGCTGAGATACTTGGATCAGCCAGCTGCTAACTAATAAGATGGGCGAGATGGGCAGATCGGCTTCCTTTGCTTGTCCACCCTGAATTGGTGTTTGTGCTGTGTGGTCTCCGCAGGGGCGACGGGGAGCAGTCGGTTTGGAGCAGCAGGGGGCGGAGCGGGGGCGGCGGGCGGCCACGGGCAGGCCTGGAACTTTGCGGGTGGCTTAGGGGGCATCGGCGGCGTCTCCTACTGCAATCAGGGCTGCGCCAACTCCTGGCTAGCAGATAAGTTTTGTGACCAGGCCTGCAACGTGCTGTCCTGCGGCTTCGATGTTGGCGACTGTGGGCAAGGTGAGTGTTCAGGTTGAACTCTTTCCTTTCTTTCTTCAGACCGTGTTGGTTTATCTGTCCGTATTGGTGACACATCTGGCTTATTTCAAACAGAAACAGGTCTTTGTCATACACGTCTTAAATCACGGTCTAAACCTCCTGTCCATGATCTGCTTTCTGATCCTCTAAACAACATCCGGATGGATCAAGCTGAAAGGGACATTTCATGTTTAACCCAACACAGTTAGCTATTGAGATTATTTTGCTTTTATATTATCGGCGGTGTGGTTGATCAGCGCGCACTGTAATGGTGGGATTTCGTTTTGTACAAAGAAGAGGGTTGTCCCTGCTGGTCTGAGCTGAGGCCGCTGGTGCTGGATTGTAAAGCCTTCTTTGTTATCAGGATAATCTTTTGGTAAACAAATGGCTGTCACATGCACGTGGGGAGTGATTCCTGGGGATGTTTTGATATTTTGGGTAGCCAGCTAAGCGCTTGCATGGAAGGTGTGTCTGTGTCTCACTTGGCTGTTGGTGGAATAGGGATTCGAGCCGGTAGACGAGGGCCAGGCTGTTGCTGGTACTGCTGTTAGTCTTGCATATTCTGGAGGTGTTTGTGTAAGTGCTGTGCTTGGGGGTAGGCATGGCTGCAGGCTGCAGCCAAAAAGCCCCTCCATCTCCCCCCATAACACTGAGATGTGAGAGGTGTCCCGAAGCTGAAGTGTCCTGTAGAAACATGAAAGGAGGAAGCAAGCTCCAAAGAGAGGGACACTGGAAGGGAGATGCATTCATTAAATTACAGCTCTTTAGAGGATAGGCTTCCTGCTGTATTTCCTGTGAAGTCTTTTGTTTGATTGTGTTCTGAGCCCACCTGAACCCTCGTTCATATTGGAGTTTTCGGTGTGAAGGTTCAACCATTCTATCAACCATCAATTCAATTCAAGCTTTATCCTGAAGCACCATCTTTTACACAGCGTGTAGGAGTCTTTGCAGATTGAGGGCAACTTTCTGCAATTGACAACGTTTGTAGTCAGTTTTTAGATTTCTTAATGTACAATAGTTCTGATGTTTCGCTTAGAGTTAGACGATCCCGAGATGCTTTTCCGTGAGTTTTGTTTTTTTGTTCCAGGCTTGTGAATAGCTCGATTGACTCTGTCTGTTGAAGTTCATTGACTGATGTGTCGATGTTGGTGAAAACTACATGCAGTTTCATTAGGATGACCTGAATGATCAAGCACCAAACACCTTGCTTGGACTCATTTCACCTGTGTCCTTTTTAGGTGAAATGCTTTGTTTTTGAACATTCATTGCTAAGCTCTACCGAACGCTTTTCTGCAGTTGTACTACCGCATGAGGGAGTTCCTATAACTACTTCTTTGATAAATTGCGGAAAGTGGACTTGAGCGTTTCCATTTAAAGTCATCCTGTTCTTTGATTTTTCTGATAGTCATTGTGTGACGATGTTAGGAATTTTAGCTCTGTATATTGGGTTAGCTACAGTCACTAAAACATCACAAACAACTTACTGTAGATGCTGTCAGAGTTGTTGTGGGTTGGTTATGTGTAGTTGTGTTTTTTTCTTTCAGATCACTTCGGCCAGCTGTACAAAGTAACCCTGCTGCGGAACAAGACCCACTACTCCATTCCGCAGGGGGAGACCAAGCCTTACTTCAGCTTCGAGGGGATCGCCAAGAGAATCTCCGAGGCCTTCGTCAGCGACGACCCCATCGTGCGTCACACGTCCGTGGCCAACAAGTGGAAGACCATGCATCTGCTCCTGCACGGCGGCATGAACGCCACCACCATCCAGTACAACTTCACCTTCCAGGGCGAGGGTGACCAGGAATTCAAAATGACCATCACAGTGGACGTGGACACCCGGGAGGTCCAGAAGTCCAATGTGACCCAGGCTCAGAAGGATGATGGGAGGGACGTCAAAGCCACTGCTTCCCCGCTGGAGCCAGAGGTCTCTTTTGAAGACGTGCCCACAGACAAGCAAGGGCCTAGAATTCACAGAAGGCCCCCGGCGGACACCGAGGATGCCATTGAGGTGCCAGTGCTGGATGCGTCCTTACTGCCTGCTGATGTGCAGAGTGAGCTGCAGAAGCTAGAGGAAAAGCTGGAGAAAGGAGATCTCACTCTTAAAGGCTATAACCTCACCAAAGCTGCTCTCCTGGAGCCCTTTAGGGTATCGGCCTGGGCCAGAGGACGCGATCAAAGTCATAATGGCAGCAACGTTGGGAAACCAGTGCAGGTGAAGTCCCAGGAAGGTGTGGATCCCCACAGACCTTACAGAGACTTTGGAGGTGAACATTCGGAGAAGGAGAAGGAGAAGGTGCCGCCCCATCTACCAGCTCCAGAGCGCAAGACCCAGCTGACCTCTCCTCCCGTCCGAGTTCAGATGGATGATCAGCCGCTCCGTGAGGCGGATCAGAACCGGCCTCGAGCCGGGGCTCTGCCAGCTGCAGCCCAAGACCTGGCCCCCTCCCGGATACTGAGTTCCCTGGTGGGAGGTGTCCCAAGGGCGAAGGATCCGGAAGAAACGCAGATGGAGAAGGCGAGCCCCAGAGAGAGGGACCCGGAAAGGGAGCTGCACGGGGGGGTTCCTCTGGGCCGGAGACTCCAGCAGTACTCGGTCAGCGGCAGGGGCTTCCTCCCCTGGGAGAAGAGGAAATATTTCCAGGACCTCTTGGAAGTGAGTGACCGATCTCATTGTAGCCAAAGTCTTCAATTGCTGAGAGAGAGCTGGAACTCGGAGGCGGTCGCGGTACCTCTTGGGTTTTGTTTTCAGGACCTGTTGAAATCGTGCCTTGTACTGACTTCGTGTCGTGAGAATCACGGCTTTGCCCACAGCTATGATAGTTGTTTTAAGTAGATAGGTGGGCTAATAGAGGAAGGAAATCTGCTTTGCATAGGTTTTATATAGAGAAAAGGACATTTGTTTTTAAGATAGATTGAGCAGTGGATTTGCCCCTCTGATCTGGTTTTTGAAATTATTTCTCTGCTTTCAGCCGCCTGTACTGTTCTTATTCGCCTTTTGAAACTTATCTACAGTATATTATTACCCTTATTAACTTTTTCATCCTGTGTATCATCTCATCTCCATTGAGTTCTCAGTTGAAGTTGTGACCGAAGAGCTGCAAGCATGGTCACTGCAGACATGCAAAACAATGCTTGGCAGCAGGAAGAATTATCTCTGCAAAGGTGCACCCAACCCGTAGATAGACATCTCCGCTAATTTGTAACTTGCCTGTGGGACATTTAGTCTTGTTGTAGTTTTCTTTACTTGGTATATTTGGTGCCTTCTGTGCATGTGTTATGCTGAGAATGTGAAAACTGTAAAAAATGACACAAGAATAATGTGTGAACCGCTGAATATAAAACTCGCATTAGATATTTGGTGTTGCATTGTAATAATTAGGGAGGCAGCTGAATTCTCAGTTCGTACTGTGTTGTGAGTGCCCTGCTGCTGTGCTCTTCAGGAAGAAGAGAGGCTGAGGAAGGAGCTGGATTATCAAACGGACGTGAGAGCTGTTGGCAGGAAGCTGCGAGACACGTTCGCGGACTCCCTGCGCTACGTGAACAGGCTCCTGAACGGCCAGTTCGGCTTCACGTCGCGGAAGGTCCCCGCCCACATGCCACACATGATCGACCGGCTCGTCATGCAGGAGCTGCAGGACATGTGAGGCCAGCGTGGTGCTTGCTGTGCTTTAAAAGTGTCTGCTCAATCTCCTGACCCTTAAAGCCCGAATTTAACTAGGTTATCAAATAAGGTTAGATTTTAAAAAAGAGTCATCCAAAATGAAGAAAAAAATGTCAGGTCTTTCAGTTCATCACATAGAATTTTATTTTAGGCTCGAAAAGCACTTGCATAGGCCCGCCAGCAGCTGCTATTCAGATCCAGTGCTTTGTCATCGAATCTGTTTCTGCATCTCCTGTGTGTCTTGTTGCGTCTGGTTGTGCGTCAGTCTCATCGTTGTGCAGCCAGTGAATGAGAGCTGAAAGTCTGTGGCTGTCGACTCTTCTGATGCTGAGGCCTTTGCGTACGACAGGTTTCCCAAAGAGTTTGACAAGACTTCGTCCCACAAGGTGCGGCACTCCCAGGACATGCAGTTCGCCTTCTCCTACTTCTACTACCTGATGAGCGCGGTGCAGCAGCTCAACATCTCCCGCGTCTTCGACGAAGTGGACACGGACAGCTCCGGGGTGCTGTCGGACCGGGAGATCCGCACGCTGGCCACCAGGATCCACGAGCTCCCGCTCAGCCTTCAGGTGACCCTTCCCTTCCGGCGCCGATGGCCCTGCACGAGAGGCTAGGGGACCGAAGGTTTTGGTAAAGCCGAGAAGGCAGTGCGGTCCGGGTGAGCTGCCAGTACGCGGTTCTGCCCAGGAGAACATCGCCACCTCGCGTTGCTGGGCCCCTGGGTCCAGCTCCTGGGGTGCTGTCTGCGGGGAGTTTGTTCGTTCTCACCATGTTTGCATGGGTTTCCTCCCGCAGTCCAAAGACATGCTGGCAGGTTAATTGGCTTCTGGGACATGTGGCACTGGTGTGAGTGTGTGTCTGTGTCTGTCTACCCTGTGGTGGACTGGCGTCCCATCCAGGACATATCCTGCCTTGCCGGGACAGGCTCCAGGGCCCCCGTGACGCTGTACTGGAGAAGGTGGTTAGAGATGGATGGTCGGTCCTGTTATCAGAAGATTAGTGCTTCAGGAGCAGCGTCCCCATGTGAAGGGTGACAGCATGACAGGGAGGAACTAGAGGACGTATCCAGGTTCCGACATAATGATTTACCAGTTTAACCAAAAATTAAAGTGTAAAATTTTAACACAAATATTCTGTATTTATTGTTTAGATATTTAAAGGCTAATTCTTAGGACGTTTGTTTGAAAAATACTTGCTGTTTTGTTGTCTAAAGTTACTCACCTTTGATGCTCATAGGTGTTTTGCATGTTGTAAAATATCGTTGTGCATCTACACAGTAACGGTATTAAATTGTCAGTCAGGCTGTGCATTAGCCTTGTCCGTCTGATCTTTGTCAGAGCTGAACTGATCGTCACTGTCTACGCAGGATTTAACAGGACTGGAGCAGACGCTGATAAACTGTTCAAAGTCGCTGCCCTTGAATGTCACCCACATCGACACGATCAACCCCACGCAAGAGGCATATTATGATCCCAGCATGGTAAGAGCCTGTTTCTGATAGTGTTCATCCCAGTGCAAACGGCAGGAAGTGAGAGTTGTTCAAGCCTTTAGAAGGTGGATTTTATCGCTTGCTTCTGGCTGTCCAGCTCAATGGAAGAATTGCAGATATCTTGGGGTCAAGCTGTGCGCACTGCTGGACTGTTGAACTGGCCTGCTCTGTCCATTGTTTTCTAAATAAAAGACTTAAACGAGTGCACTGTTTCAAGAGTGTTTACTTTCATGTCTTTTTTTTGTCTTTTCAGCCTCCCGTGACCAAAGATTTGGTCATCAACTGCAAGCCGATCACAGACCGTATCCACAAGGCCTACAGAGAACAGAACAAATACAAGTACGTCCTTGGCAAGGCACTGGCAGAGCATAGAATAGTGAAGACTAGATCTGTTCGCATTGAGCTCAGTTTGAGCTTTCTAACAGCTGTTCTGCATCTCTTCATGCGGCTTGCATCTTTATTTAGAATATTCTTTGTTGTTTTGGTGTTTCATAAAGGTGAGCTGAGGTGAAGAAAACATTTTGTAAAGAAATCTGCTAATCAATTTTCAGAAGATGGAGGTGTTCATCAAAACCATGTCACAAATAAACGTGGATGACTTAACACCTAATTTGAAATATAAAAGAAACTAGGTGTTTATTTTATTCTTATGTTTCTGAGTTGCCTAATAGAGATGTTTTTTATTGAAGTAATATTGCAAACTTTAGATCTTCTCTCTCTTTTCCCAGTGCAGATTATGTAGCTCATGCTTTAGCTTCATCCAGATTGGATAAGGCTCTCCTTTCTGGACTTATAAGTGATTACAGCTACAGCCTTACTGAATTCAGCTGCTGGGGTCCTTGCTAGAGCACAAGATAGAGCACTTATGACTCCTGTGTTGGCATCTCCGCATTGGCTTCCAGGGAGATATACAATTCATTTGGAAATCCTGTTACGTGTGTTTAAAGTACTGAAAGAAACAGCACCAGATCACTTGTCTGAGTTGCAGCCTGATTTTATATCAATATTTTAGTTATTATACTTCCTCAGTTTATGCGTTATTTCATATTGTTTCTTTTTCTTATCTTTGTCGTCTGTTATTTTTTCTGATTAATTTTTTAAAAAAATTTAAGTGCATGAAGTGTGAGAGCCTCAATTCAGCTTCAAGAATGTATTTTTAACACACTGCACTTCTAGGTGTTAACAAGCATTCTCGTTTCTACTGAAAAGGTTTGAAATCATGGGCGAAGATGAAATTGCCTTCAAAATGGTGAGAACGAATGTGTCGCATGTGGTTGGCCAGCTGGATGATATCAGGAAAAACCCCAGGTAAAGATGTTGGCTTTGACAGCTGCCTTTTCCCTTTCCCTTCAGCACTGAAGTGTGTGGCTCTTGCTAAGGTTAGAGACTCGTATTGTAGGTGTGACTGAGGATTTGTGTAGTCCTAAATTACAATATATCCATCACGTCGTCCTAGTAGATAAAAGAACACATCAAGGTTCATCCCATTGCTGAATGGAAAAGAGACGCAATGTTTCAGCTGTAGAGCCTTCTTCAGGTGCGACATCTATCAAATGAACCTTTACCTGTTTCTGCGCAGCCTACGCAGCTGACGCAGCTCCCTACTGGATAGATGAAAGTTCCTTCAAGGCCTTTTTGCGTTCTTTCAGTGAGAATGTCACTGGCTTGCTGATGCGGGCACTTCAGTAGTCTGTCCCAAACCTCCGAGTGGAGTCTGTTTGCCCAGAGTGGGATCTCTTGTCGTTGTGCAAGAGCTGGAAGCGCAGTTCGTTTTGTTGACTCTTATGAGTGAAATTGGCGGGTGATGCCGTAAGGCTCACGTGTGGAGACCTGGAGAAGAAAAGGAAGCGTCTTTTGCTCTCTGAAATAAGCTCCGGTGGAGCCGGCGGTCCGTTCCGGGCGCCTGGTTGCTCTGTAACGCGGCCCGCCTTGCGCTCTTGCAGGAAGTTCGTCTGCCTGAACGACAACATCGACCACGGCCACAAGGACGCCCCCACGGTGAAGGCGGTCCTGCGGGACTTCTACGAGTCGATGTTCCCCGTCCCCTCCCAGTTCGAGCTGCCGCGAGAGTACCGCAACCGCTTCCTGCACATGCGCGAGCTGCGTGAATGGTACGGAGCGAGACGGGGCCCGCGGGCCGCAGCCGATACATGACGCATCTTCATTCACTCCAGGGCCTGTGAGTGCCAGCAACACCACCTTTGGAGACCCATTTATTCTGTTTTTCAAACTGAAATCACGCTGTTTATATTGCTATATAATATATATACTGTTATAAAACAATGGTTATAAATGAAAACAAAGCGTCTCCAAGCTGACACACAGGCTTGTTAACAAAATCCACATTAAAATCTGGTCACTCCATTACAAATGAGTGGAGACCATTTCCCTTTTATAATTAGTACCTAATTAACCCCAGGATCTCACTCAGCTGTTCCTTGAAAGAAACTAGGGCAACGGCTTCAACAGCATGACTGGGTTGCTTGTTCCACACTCCCACAGCTCTTTGTGTAAAGAAGTACCATTTCTTTGTTTTAAATGCACTTCTATGTAGATTCTGTGCATTCCTCTCCATTAAATAATGCGGAACACAGATGTTACAGCTGCAGGGCTGTGGCAAGTACTCTTTTCTCGTGTGTGGTAATTTTAACTCCATTTATAGTCGGATACCTTTTGCTTTCTTTTTTTGTCTTTGTATATGAACACACTGGGGTTCCTTCTTGGAAAATTGAATGCTGTCAGTGTTTCCCTGCACTTCATTTCTATTGATAGACGCAGTATGAATTTCTGGCAGTAATGAGAACAGAAGATGAGACACTTTTTCCTATCCAAACCTTTGTACACTCACTGTCCTCCTCCTGATTTATTAAGGCCAGTTGCATGCAGGCCTGCACTGTTGTTATAGGAGGATAACGAATGCCCCTTCCTGTCAGCACCCCCGAGCAGATAAAATATGTGCTGTGAACTGGCAGGATCTTCTCTCAGTGCTGGACTGTTGCCAGTATCTGAGGCAACAGTGGGAAGAGCTGTGTTCTTTAGGAGAGAGCGCTGTCGTTTTCCCATCTGCCTTGTTGTAGTCCGATAGTCAGTATATCATCATAGCAGTGACATGTGAACATAGATCTACTGAGCACCCAGTCTCAGACCCAGACTTTTTTATTTTCAATGAGCATAATAAATTTGAAGATGCATTATGTAGGCCCTGATTGTAAATGCTTGTCAAAATGCAGACTCTTTTGATCTTTCCTTTTTCTGTGGTGGTGGTCAACCCAAGAGATTATTGCTTAGCTGTACTCTATTCAGCATGAAAATAATAGTTGTATCAATTTGAATAGTAGTTGTTGTAGACTTGTGAGAATTTGTCAATAAATCCATTACTGCTATAAAATATCAACCAAGGAACCTGTCAAACAAGCTGTAAGTATAACCAGTACAGTTTTTTTTTGTTAATATAGGGTTACAATGTCACGGTTGTACACAAAAGGACCTCAAGATAATGTATTAAATGCCCTTAAATTGCTGTATAAACTCGGTGTGCCTGTGCCAGGATGGGAGGAGAGCAGAGTAATGAAGCCAGTTCAGAGATGGGGATTATTAGGAGGCCATGATTGGTAAAGGCCAGGGGGAAATTTGGCCAGGACTCCAGGGTTACACCCCTACTCTTTTCGAGAAACGCTTCGGGATTTTTAATGACCACAGAGAGTCAGGACCTCGGTTTTACGTCTCATCCGAAGAACGGTGCCTGTTTACAGTGTAGTGTCCCCATCACTATACTGGGGCACTGAAAGAGTGCAAGTCTTGAGTGGACAGTTCAAGATCCCAAAGATGAAGCATTAAACAATAATACATGTCTAAAGTCTTAACCGTGTGCGATATTATCCTGACTTGCTGAAGATGTGTGTCATCAGGCCCCATGGAGTTGTCCTTCTCAATATGTCCACTAGATGGCTCTGTGACCAGTCACGACATACAGGAGATTCAACTTCTTTAAGGTTTTTTCAGACCTTTAAAATAAAATGTTAAAATTGACAGATACAAGATGGAGGCAGTTAATTTAAATCTGAATAGCTGTTGGCATCCTTACTTTCTCATGGAAGCTCATTTTCACATTACACTGGCGGTGAAGTTTGTCAGTTCTGCACTTTCCAATGCAGAGTTGTTGGCTGCAAGTGACCATATCGGAGTTGTTCTGTCGGCATCTTTCTTGCTCACCAAGTGTTTCATGACCCTCCGATGCATTGTGGTGATTGTATTGGTGAGGATTGTAGGGGAGTTGTATTAATTTGTTCCACAGGGGCCACGTATGGAATTGAATTCCTGTAGGAAGAGTCTACTTGTTTGGCTGGACTCCTTTCAAGGGAAAACGCTTCCTGGTTAGCTAGAAAGCTAGTCACAGGTCACCGAGGCAGCAGGTGGAGTTACTGCCTGTTTCGGCCAAGGAGGTTGTGTCTGCAAAGAGCTGAAAGGGAGTCTGTAGAAGCAGTTCAGTTTTGCACCAGTTACAAATGTGCCTTCTTAGGTGTAATCCAGAAATCTTACATTTACAATTATCTGACAATTCAGACTCTTGCATTTGAACTCTTACATTACCGTCATCATAGTCTCAGCATTATCTGATTTTTTGTTGTTGATAAATTTCAAGGTGTTTTCTGTCTCCATCCTGGGATACCTCAGTCAGTATTACTGAGCTAGTTGAGCAACTGTGAAAATCAGAAAAGCTCCACCATGTTGTGGGGAATGTGTCAAAAAGCAGAGCTGTACTAAAAACCAGTGAACATCTGATTTTGTTTTTTCAGAGAGGTCTTTTAGATCACAGCAGAATTGCAATTAGGTACGACTCCTTTCAGTTGTACAGAATTTCTAGGTTACCTGCCACACTGCTGAAAATTAAAGGGTTTTGCTGTGGTTATAGCTCAGAAGAAATTAGCTAGAACTGTGATGTAGGGTTCTGTGAATCCCTCCGATTTATATTAAAATGTCTCATTTCTGCATTTGTGCAAATGGGTTTGTTTTTCTTGTGTGTAATAACTAGCATGATATTGGAGGTTTGCTGTCACTCTGCGTGGATTCTGTGTGACTCGACATTGTTCTACTGTAAGATGTAAAGTTGACACCTGTTTGTTCATTTCTCCCCAGGAGAGTGTACAGAGATAAGCTGAAGTTTTGGACTCACTGTGTTCTGGTGACCCTAGTTGTGTTCACAGTTATCTCATTTTTTGCAGAACAGGTGAGTTACCGTTATCATACTGAAAAGCTCTTTAAGACAGGAGGTATTTGGTTAGTCTGTGAGGCTTGGCACACTAGACAGCTTCTGCTGTCCACGGATCCCCAGATATAGCCATTGTAACCTTCACTGAGAGACTTATGGCAGTGGGTTAGTTCATATTTATTCAGTAAAGAAGGAATTTCTTCTGTATGGTACAGAACTTTTCTGTATGATACAACAGTGCTGTAACAGTTCATATTAGTCCTAGGCCTGACATTACAGAGGAATTCATGAAACTTTCCTGTAAATGATGATGGAGGACCAGTAGATGGCACTATTGCCCGTGGTTCACACTTACCAACCAGTGAACAAGAGGTCCTTTGGATCAGCCACAGTCCTGACTACTTGATCGTTGGAGATCCCACTGTTTGTAAGAGCAGGAATATGAACCCCATCGTCCTGACACAATTCCACTCTGGTCTTGAACAGTCTGACCCCACTAAAATTATCCCTTTAATTGTGTAGTTTGTAAATAGAAACACTCAGTCCTAATGGCAGTATCTCTGAAAGAGTGCCCTGGGAAAGACCCGTGAATCTCTGGTCGGGTTGTTTCCTGAGTTTTTTACAAGTCTGTATTCCAAGCCAAGGTGTGGGGCTGTAAACTCACTCTGGTGACTTCCAGCGATGCAAAATACTGAAAAGAATGGTGAGCTCTACAAAGAAGGTTATAGTGGGTGGGCAGCAGATTAATAGATTTAGTTAGCTCTTTAATCATATATAAACTGGAATCGGAGCATGCATTTTTCCCCAAACTAGTTTCTGGAAGCTTGTGTTTTTACCGCTTAGTCTGGCAGAGAATCTGAACTCTAAAGTGTTTCGCCATTTCCAGCTGATCGTACTGAAGCGCAAGCTGCTGCCCAGACGGAGGACCAAGGATCTCAATCCTGAGCGGGTGTAGGGTGCGCCCGTCCCGTCTACCTTCAACCCCCCTGAGGTGTGCCAGCGGGACATGGCTCCCCCAGAGCGGACAAGGAGAAGTAGCGTCCTGAAGGGCTGCCGGTTCGAAGTGCGTCTCGCTGTGGCACCTCGCACCCCCCCCGGCGAGGACTCTCCGACGCTCCCTCCCTTGATTGGCAGTGCCTGCCGGCTCCGCTGGTGTGGGTTGGGATGGCTGACATTTCATCCAGCTCCGAGAGGGGGGGGGTCTGCTCTGAGCAGAGGCAGCTGGAGTGAAAGCAGGGAGCTGCCAAGGGGTCATAACTCTGGAAACTCGAGCCCCCCTGGGGGGTTAGTCCGTGGACAGGCTGTTCCCCGCCATTTCTCTCAAGCCAGCAGGGCTTTTGAATCGCTGCTTTGAAATCGGGCTCCCTGGATGAATGCAATTTTAAAACCTAATCTCGGCGCGTTTCAGTAAATTGGGCTACGACGGAAGGTTTACAGCGCTGATGAAGTTAAATGGCCATGTTCATAATTAGAAGCCGTTAACAGCGATGTCATCCCGTCCAGTGTGCGTGTTTTCAGCGTGCAGGCGGGGGGCAGCGTTAGAGGTTTCCGTGCTTTGCTCGCGTGTCCGTCTACACAAGAAGTGCCTGTTCTGCAGTGGTCGAACCCACTGGAAGTGCTTTGGAGCAGTGTGGGTGCTGTCATTGTCATCTGGGCAGGGGGTTTAGGTCTCTACACGTGCGGTAGTATTAGCTGGTCCGTTTGTCGCAGAGCACTCAAGGACTACAAATGGTAGGGTTGGGAACTATGATCGATGTTTTGTACAGAAGAGATTTTTAAAAATTGTACTTGAAGACTTTTACAATACCTCCACATCAGCCAAGACGGTTTCCCTTAAATGTGCATAGTGTACGTTTTTGTACAGTTAACTTTATGGAACAAGGCTTAAGGAGACATTTTGAAGATGTAAATGGCTTTTCTTTTAAGTTAATTTCCTGATAAAAAAAAAGGACTATCCTTCCAGCTTACAGCAACTTCAAGTTTTGAATCCTATTTTATTTTATAGGCCAGGCAGAACTGATTTGGAATTGCTTGGATGAAAGAGATGGGTGATCATAAAAAATAAATGTGAATTTTCATTTCCAGTGTACTTTCTCATAAATGAAAGAGAAGCCTTTAAACCGGTTCGAGCACAGCTGAAACAAACTGATTTTGGTCAAGTGACAGCTGGCAGACACCCCAGTTTTTCAGAACCAGGACTGGACACCCCTTTAGCTGATAACTCTAGATAAAAAATCTCTAGAATCCATCTTTCAGAACCTCCCTGGTTAATGATTGAAACTAAGTGAGTCCTTGTGATTATTTTAGTACACTGATGATCCTTCTGGTATTCCTGTATTCTGATGACCACAGCGCTGCTCTTTGACTTTCATGATCCAGTACTTAGTCACATGCCTGCTATTTCTGTGTCATGATCAGACAGATTTTACAACATTAAAAAAAAAAAATGTATCCTGATTATATCCATGCATTTCCCACAAGTGCAGTCTACAGGAAAACAGTTATCAACCAACTGGGGTTAGCAGTCCTGGTAATGTTAGTTTATGTAAGTGTCCCCTCTGCATGGTTGTGCAAATATTTTTAAAATTCATTAACATTTACATGCATGAGACCTTTAGAAAGAAACATACCTGCAGTGGAATGCCTCACTGTTGCAGTATTGGGGCTGTGTGGACAGGACGGAGTTGTGAAGGCTTGAATGGCTCTTATGAAATTAAAGGTTTTGTTGTGAAATTACAAACAAAAAGCCAGACATCCTTTTTTCATTTTCAGATTGTTTTCCAGTAGTTAGTAGGAAAACAGGTATTATAGTAATGTACAGTATGTGTGTAACCTGTACAATCATCTAAAAACGGTACAGGGAAAATATTTTTTATTTTTAACAAGATAAAAGCTGGTGAAATATCAGTTGTAACACAGTATGATTTATAGCAGCTCAGATATTTTGTTTACAAAAATAGTCATATCTACAGCTACAGTATAAGAAACGTACATGAAACCTTTCAAAAGGCTTTAGTGCATTTCCATCACAGCACAGCTGCAGTAGTAAATTCATAGCTCTCATATAAGATGGACTCGAATACAATAAACCTGAAATGTTTTCTGTAGCAAATGGAAGATTGAGTTTGCCATAACTTTGGCTGATGTGCTCGTGATTATGTCTGCATAAACTCTCACTGGCTCCTGAAAGGCGCCTGTGTCGGTAAGGTGAAAAACTGAATTTGCAGGTACAATGCTAATTACTCTGCGTAAAACATGAGCTCCCAATGTGCTCAAGTAAGTTAATACCAGGTGCTCATAGCATCTTGAAGAGCCGAGTTGAATTTTCATGATAAAACTCCAAATTTGGCCGTGTGACTTGAGTCTGCTTGTTCGCTTGTTATAGTGACTGTTAAAAGTAAGACAACCAGAACAGTACTGGAGAGTCCACGGAGAGGTGTTTTTCTGCAGACATTTAACCAAACAATTGAAACGCAACTCAATTAATTGAAATACATCTTTTAATGATTAAACTACTTGCTCAGTACACACCAAACCAAGATGCTTGTGTATTGATTAGTGTACGGAGTGTTTGAATTTTTAAGTTTATTTTTATTTAGTATTTCTCGAGACTGAGTTGTGCAGGAGATGATTAATTTGGGAATAGAAGAACCTTCTCTATTTAATGAGTACTGTCTGCCCCTTGGCTTTCCAGCTGTATTCCAAACCCTTATTGTAGCTGTAATTCTGCTGTCTCCTCAAATTGTGTGCTTTTTTCTTCCTTCCTGTAAAGCACATGAGAAGCCACTTTTCATAGGCACTATATAAAATTAAGCTTATTATTATTTTAATTGTTTAGCGTGTTTGAGCTCGGGCTAATCTACCATTAAGGAAGTTATTGGTGGTTTGCCTCTTGAACACAAACCACGGACAAGCACGTTCTCAAAGTGCCCCATGCAGTTTCGACACAGTGACACAAGTCCCGGAGCTGGTTGGCGTGACTGTCGTGGGACGTGTGCGATCAGCCTGCGTGTGTCCTCGTGTGTAAACGGGGCACGCTGCAGTGTGCACAGCTACTTTTCACCACCGTGTCCTGGGGCTCAGAGGCCGCCCCTGCGCCTGTGTCGGTAACAGCCATGGGCTGAATGCGCATCACCAAAGTCCTGTATTGAGACATTGAGTGAACAGGGAAGTGTGAAAGCCATTACCTCAGAACCTTGCAATTCATTCGGTGGAGACCGACCTCAACAGCTAGAGTAACTGAAACTGCTTCTTCTGCTTTTCACTCTTTCAACACCATTACTCACGTCTGTAAAGATCCCGTTTTCATTGCATGTTAACTGTCTCTGTGCTGCTAAAAGAGCATTATGTAAGAGTGACTGACACCTTGCAGTACACACAATGAAAGCAGTCATCTAAACCTTTTACTACCTGTTTAGCATGTAACTTATTCCTCTTGAATGTTGTGAAACTTTTAAAAAATATGCACAAACCTTCATTCTTTTCTTACTGCGGTCACTTTTACAATGTGTTTTGCTGATCACCATTTTCAAGGTTTATCTCCTCTTCTGTATGCAACTATTTCATAAGCAAGTCATACTCTGGTCATTTATTACAATGTACCAATGTTGGTTCTTTGACCTTCCCCATGCTGATGGACAAAAGGTGTTTCTGCGCGTTTCTTTATTTTTATACCCTAGCGAAACAGGAAATCACTAAAGTACACACTAGTCCCTTAAGAAAAAATTGAACTCAAACAAGTATACATCATTTTTTCAGATGTGTTTGATTGTATCTGAATGGATCCTGAAGGGTGCCAATAATTTTGGCACCTATGTTTTTCAGATAAAACAGCATTACTCGTTTACAATTGAACCTTGAAATGAAAAAAAGGACATGTATTCCCCCAACATGAGTATTAAGTATCTGTCATTAGCTGTGTGGTTTATTTTGACTTTTGTCAACATACTGTAGCAAGGCGTGCCAATAATTCCGGAGTCCACTGTATGTTGCTTATTTGTTAATGGGTTTATGTTGTGTTAGATGTATTGTGTCGTGTCTTTTACTGCCTGCAAACAAATTTCCCATCCGGGAAAGTAAGTATCCTTCCCCACCCCAGAGATGAACAGGCGCACATAGGTTTGGTCTAAGCGTTGCCTGTGAAATACAGCAGTTCCTGTTGACAGCTTTCCTGTTAGTCGACTATTTCTTCTGACCTTTGCCTTTTCCTACTGCACGTAGATATGTGCTTATCAAGAGACTGGTATGGCCCTATTTACATCTCGGCGTGTGCCTGTTCATGAAAAATAAAGTCAGCAGGCTGTTAATTTGGTGGTTTGTTTGGTTCTGAAATTTGAGTGCAACAATAAAGTCAAAAATCTTTTTTGGCAAGTCTAGAACAGCTGATTTTTTTTTTAATTGTGACCCACTAACGGTAGTGTTAATTTTCAATTGCTTTACCCCCTCAGTCTCTTGTAGGACTTGAGCACATGCCTCTTCCCCTTTTACTGGGGACAAAGAATGATGTTTTTTTAAAGCTAGTTGCACAATTAAAGCTGCTTCTAGTTTCGTCTTTGAGTTAAGACAACAGCTGCTTCCTTCCAGTGGGCCTCTGCTTATTGTATTGTTCTGTTGTTCTACCTTATACTAATGAAGTTTGGCAGAACTTTGGGAGTAAGGATAGATCCTAATCTCGCACTCTTCAGCTCACCCCCCCGTGTATAACTCTCTCAGCCAGGGATTCACGTTATCCTCCCACCTCCCCCCCCGCCGCAGCTCCTCAGCTCATTCCTCACAAGAGTGAGTCTTATCCTCACAGTTGGGCTGCCACTCCCTCAGCTGGGTGAAGCCAGGTTACGTGCTCCTTCACTCATGAGCACTTAACCGAACTGCTGAAGAACTGGTTCTGTTGCCCTGTTTATTGGAGGGGGAGAGGGGCCCATTGGACATCTAACCAACAGTCACCCCCAGCAGATCCTTCAGACTGAACAGTGAAACATCATCCGGAGGCACAAATGGAAATATGTAGAAACACATTTAAAACTTAAGAGACAGGAGGTGGGCTGAGGGGTTGTGGGAGGCTGGAACAAGCTACCCAGCCATGTTGATGAAGCCTCCCTCTATCACATTCATTAGGACCTAACTGAACTACTGAACAGGTCTTTTCAAATTGGGCTTCGTTTTACATCAAGCTCCAAATGAACAAGGAGTGGCTTTGGGTTTTCAAGCCAGAAAGCATTGTTGATGGGAACCCAGTCTGAACGCCGAACTGAAAGGTCTTGCGTTGCAGAAGAAAAGCATGATGGACACAGTAAGTAAAAGGCTTCATTGCATGTATATATATTTATAACAAAAATAAAATGTGTAAACGAAGAATATATAACATTTTGTAGGTAAGAAAATTCAGTGTAACCAATGCTCCACTTCACACCCAGCTCAGCTCTTTACCAAAGGAGGGTTTCTCTGCTGAAGGCTGTGAACTGCCACTGTGCACACACTGCGCTCAGTATTGTGAGGTGGGCTTTCCCTGTTCCGCCACCACAGTGCTCACAAACCTCTTCAGTCCGTGATATTCTGAGGAGCCACAGCAATGGAAATACCTTCATCCTACGTGATATAATAGTTAAAATGTTAATATTCATTTTCACGGCTGGCCATTCGTTCACGGTGTTAAATGTTAGTATAAATGTGCTTTCAGATTATGTTAATGTCCAGTGTTAGCATTATGGAGTTAAATTAGAAACACCCAACACCTTTTTAAACACAGTTACTACTTCCGTTAATAAAAATCTGGTTTTAATCACGTCTAAACTATATACTAGAAAAGTAATAAAATGCAGTCATGTTGCATCTGTGAATTCCTTCTTTAACTGTGGACTTCTGCACATGAAGAAGGGAGGCTGAAGTATTTACTCCTGCTTGTCACGTACGTTCCTGGTGTATTATAAGGGAGAAATGTGGAGAAAAATACCAAGTGATTTTTTTGGTCTGATATGACATATTAAAACAATAAATGGGTTCATAATTTATGTACCATTCAAATATCTCAAAATGTTTTCCTCCGTTTTCTTATATAGTGCTAAATGTAAAGATTGCTTTAAGAACACAGTTGAACTCACACTAATTTCAGTTTATTCAAAACAATAGTGCAATTTTTAATTAGAAAAACAGCTATTTCTCCACCAACTTTAAAATTCACAAAGCACTAGTTGCATTTTTAAGTGATCTCCTCTCCCTTTGATCATCCTACTATAAAAAAACAGTAACAATTCTTAAAACGCTCACCAGGATGCAGAATAAGAAAAGTACTTGTTCTAGTCTAGGCACTATTTTCACGTACAGATTATAACTGACAAAGTATCACAGAATAAAACTATTTGATCATTATTGGTCTTTTGAATGAAACACCGATTACCACAAACCTTCAAAATTTTTAAAGTATTATACATTTGAAAAATGATTAATTTCAGAAATAATATGAAGTTCTAACCTGCCCGTTTAATAAATATTGCTTTTATTTACATTTTTGGTAATTATAAATACTATAATGTACTGAATAGTCTTGCAAAAATTGTGAAAAAGGTTAGTGTTCACTTCAGCTGCTTCTTATGTCGAAATGCTCAGTAAAAACAAGAGGAGCTTAAGGCTGTTAAACTGATCCTCGTTCAGTTCAGGTTTGTGCATCGTGCCCTTCAGGAGGAGGTGTCCCGGTCTGTGAAACAGCCACATGGCAGCTCCTCTTCAATGTAACCAGTGACAGGCACACCTGAGCTCCAGGCTGCTCCTGCATTTGGGGATGAGACTTTCCTCACTGCAGGAACCGGGAATGGTTTTATAAAAAAGGTTTCAAGTGAGGCCCTAGAGGTGTCTGCCACTGGTTCGAACATTAAAACAGAGCCCTGGTCCCCTTCCGTGCTGCAATCCTGCTCTTTAAAATCAGGCAAATCTTTAAAATCTCCACCAGAAGCTATTTCATTGCAATGCATCTTTTTTTTTTTTAATTTCACTAATTTGGCAATTGTGCCCAATTACAGGCATCTGAAATTTTAAGATTAAAGAAGACTGCCATTTAATTTAGAGCCACGATTTTGTTTTAAAAATGGAGACTGAACATTGATAAAAAAATATTTTTTCCTTAGAGAAAGTTTTGCAGATGAGCTAAAGAATTTTATCTACATTTACATACTGAAAATTATAAACACACCCTTATGTTTCTTAATTTATTTTCAGCTTGCTGAAAAAGATAACCTTCCTTTGATGTAGAACGTTTACTGGTATACTCTGCATCAGAAGGACTGTATTAAATGCAAAAGCGTACACCAACAGTAAGGAGTCCCTGTGACTGAAAACATGCTAAACCTTGACAGAGCACAATATCAAGCCCCGTCTCCTCTCTCCATTCAGCTTAGACTCCTTTCCTTCTCCTTGGTTTGACCTGGCTCTGAATCTCTGCTTGTGTCTGTTATAGTCCTACCTCTGTATATCTGTATGATGCCAATAGCTGGAATGTTGCCATAATTTCCAGTATGATACAAACAATATCCATCCAGTGGAGAAAGAATCAGAATAATTAAATTAGTTAATCCAATTACTTTAGCCAATTAGATTATGAATTCAGCAATAGCTGTAAGTGAGATCATCCAGTCAGTAATCTAATCACAACTGCTAACATCCAGGTGGATCAGATTTTCAACTGGGGGGTCTTGGTGAACTGCTGCTACGAGGGGGACCTCGCCGGTGCTACTCTCCTCCCTCGGGGCGAGCAGTCAGTCGTGGTGGTTGTGAACCTGTGGGGAGACCTGGGGCACGATGCTGAAGACGTGTATCCGCAGGTGGGCTGCTATCTGCAGGCACACCCCTGTGCAGTACCTCGTCAGCTCTGCCACCGAGATGACCTGCACCAGCGGGGGAGATCAGAAATACAAACAAGTGGTCGATGAGCAGCTTTCACAGATAAGATGATAGGACAGGGGAGTCTGTCTGTATTTAAAACTGAACTTTTGCATTACATTTGTCATAGCAATGAGTACTAACCATGAATGCATGTACATCTGTGACACGAGCTCTGCAGCACTTGGCAGGTGTGGTGTGGTACTGTGTGCCAGTTTATAAAGACTGGACCAGCATGTTCTCTGGTCTGAGTCTCTGAGCTCTAGATGCTAAGTGCTGTCCCAGCTCGTCTCACAACTGTCTAAGAGGGCTCAAGTCTGGCCCTCAAGTCTGTGGCCCTAACTCTCATCCCTCCAGGAGAGCTGCTGTTACAAGGCCCCTGCAATAAGGCGGTGGCTGTCCTGCTGGAAGACTGCTGTGTCACGATGAGTCAGCAGGAGGAGCAGCCAGTCACCACTCAGTACAAGTGCAGCTCTGTAGCAGCCAGACACGCCTGGCCCGACTGATTACTTATTATATTGTTTGTACATTAGAATATGTAGTATATTGTTCTGCCTGTCTGTGCCACCTTAGGTCCATCAGGGAGGTCTGCATAAAACTGAGTCATCACTAAAGAGGACTGGCTCCACTGCTTAAGACACCTCCTGAGGTGACTTAGGCCAGTTGTTTTTTATCATCATGGTACAAAGACAATCTTCTTTTAATAGAGCATATGTTCCTTTCTTTCATTGATGGTCAGTCGAACATAGTTTATTCTTCTATAAACACACAGGATGAGAGCTGTTTCTTTTGATGCTCAGTACACCCTCTGTTGTACTCCACTCACCAGTGCTATCCAAAGAACAATGTACTCGTCGATGAAGCTGTTGAAGTACTGGTTCAGGAACAGCAGGCCTGGCCCAATAAAGGCTGTATCCTGGAGATGTAGCTCACTTTTCGTCATATGAGCAACCTGGCATGATGAAGATAAAATTTTTACGAAGTTCCTATTACAAATAAAGTTAGTTCCTGTTTGATTTTCAGCTGACTATTTTGAATAAATCTAAGAAGAGACATCAATACTGTAATGTCTTTTAATTAATTAAAACTGAACATTAAAAATTATATGTTGTCATTTTAAAATGATGCTTTAAGTTCTAATATAAACATCTAAGAATACACTGTCTTTCCATACCAGTGTATTAAACAATACAAGTTTCCCTTGATAATTTAGTTAGCCCAAATGTAAATACATTCGCACAATTGTACAAACTACATTAGCGTCTAACGTTATAATATAGAAGTGTGGAGCACATCATGTCATTGTTCAGAGAACTGTATACACAATTAATTAATTACTTGGTAATTGCTAGTAATGTTTTACCTTAAAACTATTAAGTTACAAAGAAACATTTAAACATATCGTTTTTCACCATAAGGCCACTATTATTGGCCAAGTGTCAACAACATTCCCATCTTTCATAAATACATCTGTTTTTATCAAGCAGATCACACTGAGACACTAGTTTCTCTACAATCTGTAATGATGTGTGGCTGAGACGACCATCTTAAAACTCCTTACTTACAACGAGCTTATTGGAAATCTTCGCAATCACCAATCCAAATGTTAATATGTACAGGCAAGGATGACGTTCGAAGACCTGGCTGGAAGATTTCTTGAAGATCATGAATGCCAGTGTTAGGATTAATCCTATGGGAAGCCCGGGAGAAAGAACACTAGTGTCCTGTAAGAAAAAAACAGGCGTCAAGTACTATTTAAAATAACTACAGTTAAACTTAAAACTTCCTTGCCTTGGTAGGGAATAAAGGTACTATTTCAGATCTGTTAGGATTCAAACAAACTACATCTGCTATTAGCTATCTGAACCGTGAATTAGCATTTTAGTGTTCAAATGCAGAATAAGAAACCCCCAAATATTCCACACACCTCCTACTACGCGCTGGTTGAAATTTACCTTGGCTTCACAAAAATGATTCTCATCCCTCCATTATGGACAAACGAAACACATTTATTTTATATTAACTGGTTGGGTGAATGGGCTCCTCTTGCAACAGTCTTTGCAGTAAACTGGCAAGTTGACCAGCTCAATTTTTAAAAACAATTCCACAACTTAAATGATCAATTCATGTAATAGCCACTTACACTGCATATAAATCACAGAGCACAGCCACAAACAAAACAAATCCCCAACATTCTGCATTGAGTTAAAGATGGAGCTGACCAACAGCAAGTCACAGTTTCAGGCATACCTGCTGAAACACACAACAGTCAAGAAAAGCCAGGTCATAACTTACTGCAACTGTAGAGCCATTCTTGCCCACGCCGCCACTCAGGATGACCCGGAAGTAATTGGTGCATGAATAGAGAGCCCCGCCCACAATCCCAAGTATGGGCAAGCTTTGGAGTTTCAGTCCTATCACAGGAAGCTTCAAGGAAAATAAAAGTGTGAACCGATATTAACATTACAATGGCTTTACAGAAGCCGTGAACATGCTTCAGCTTAACACTGAAAGAAGCCAATGTCAAATGAAACGGCCTGCGAGGTTACATCCACCTCCACTTGAAGTCACTTCATGTCTATGACAGATCCATTGCCATGAAGATAATTACCTCGAGTCAATCCCATGTGCAGTTTACTCGAGCTTCCATGGGCAGCACAGAGTGAAAGTGAAACAAAAGTTCTATTTAAATATTTACACTGGAGCACAGTCTTTAGAGTGTTTTATTTACCTAAAAGGAAGCACCTTAGACTGTGTACAGAACCTTACTGCAAACCCCCCCCTTTACAGTAAACGGTACATCTTAAAAAGGGAGATCACAAAATCAACAAAATCAGAGTTCATTAACACACGAATGGAAACGGGGGATTTCAATATTTCAATTAAAAAATGTATTGTTTTCCTATAATATTATGATTGACTCAAAGAAATTCTATTAACGGGACTAGAATCCAACACAAAAGTAAACCTTTAAAACAACCTTAAGAATCATCTTTTGATATGTAAAGGCATGGATGGATTTCTCTCTCTGAAAAACTCCTATTAATAATTCTGCACCTTTTTGGAGGCTGATGCATTTTGGGATTATAGAGTTCTAATTGATTGAAAGCAGAAGATTCTGCAGAGTCTTCACTTTAATTCTTTGTCTAACAAAAATTCTAAATATAGTATTTATTTTAATTTTGAAAACCTAGTACATGGAGCTTGTATTATCACAAGCAGGAAGAGTCCCAGTAACCTGTTTTCAAATGAAATCAACAAGACTGTGCAGGAGTTTTGTGTGCTGTGTATTAATTATAGTTGTCACAGACAGAAAATTGTTTCAGAGGGGTCAGAGATCCATCCAAATGATTAATTCTTCTTTACACAGAAGTAGTATTGGTGTGCAGTAACATACTATGTCATTTTGATTTGCTACATGCAGCTCTGCTCAAAGGTAAAAAGTTCAAAGGTTAACTGAATCATGTGATGCAAGTAGAAGAGCTTAAGTGTGGAGCCCTCGTGGCTTTGCTAATTAAATCCCTTTTCAAACAAATAGTGGTCTGTTGAGGGATGTTTGGAACCAGTCTGCCATTAACCACCACACTGAATTCAAAAGGTAGATCTCAGGAAGGTTTAAAGCAAGTCGGAGAGGTGAATCTAAAATTCACAGCATGACATAGAAGGCCTTAATGTCATCACTCATCAACAGTGTGAAAACAAGCCTTCACATTCTCCAAAATTCATACTCAACAGTTCAAGTAGCTGCTCTTAAGATGGATTTGATCCGCCAGCAAGATAAAATAATCTGAACGGAAACGCTCAGGTACATTACGGCACAGAACAATCCCTGAACATTTTCTTACGTCTATCTGTTAAGATCAACTGTTAAAACTTCACTACCTGGGTCTCCCACAGACTGACTCCGCCAAAGGCTGACATCAGATACATAATGATTATAGCAGTCTGGCATTCCGTCACATCAACTCTGGAAGCAAAAAAAATAAACTTGAGATTAGAGAATACAATAACATATTGTCTCTATTATCTATGGCACAGAAAGTCCAGTATTCGCATCACAGTTTTATTACATGTGGATGTATGCCTTCTTGTATTATGTCTTGAATTGTGTTCTCGGCTGTTAATGTAAAAATGAAAAGGTAACAAAACGTTCAATGGCGCCTCACAATAAAAACCATCTTTGACCACTCTGTCATTAGAATGTTCTTACACTCTCCACACCCAAAGACCAGCAGTATTACAGTCTGGATTCCACTCAGCTCATTCAGGTGGGGCTGCCCGACGTCTAACTGTTACTGTACTGCCAGCGGCCAGCAGCAGAAGAGTGCCAACAACAGCTCACAGAACCTGACATCAGTGGCTGAAATGGTTTCCAAGACCAAGGTCTGGGGGATGGAAACATGGCAGGAAACAGGCAGGTCTGTTCGGACAGCTCCTGCAGTGCTGCGTCTACGCCCGCTTCCTGGAAGACAGATCACGGAACGAGCAACCTGCCGCACACACGACCGATACCCTGCTGACCACACAGCCTGCAAACCACCTCGTATTTCCGACACCTCCGTACACTCGGGTGGCTTGGTGAGGTCGGCAAAAAAAGGCTCTCATTCTTCTTACAAACACGACCCTTCACGGAGCCTACTAGGTAAAAAAATCACGCTTGCTCAGAGGGAAGTGTGTTTCGCAACTTCTAATTCTGATGACGCAGTCCACAGAGGAGGACTGGAGTCAGCGCTGTGAGACCACGAGACCAGCGATGCCAGCCCTCCGCAGGGCAGGATGATGCTCAGCTCTCTCGCTTCAGCGGGCAGAATGCTACTCAGCTGCTCTGAAGGAGCAGACAGAGCTGTGGGCACTGTGTGTCTTTGTGCAGAGGCTGCCTGGCTTAACCCGAGTGCGTGTGCGCTACAAGCCCGCTCAAAGACATTCCTCGGCTGTCAGGCTCCTCGGACCATCGCCCACGACAGCCTTCTCCGTTCTCGAAGCATTTAACCTGTCTCGCGGAACGAAGAATAATCACATGCCCAGCTATGAGGCCGCCCTCCTCGACCGGGTTTTTCCACACTCCGTGCCAAGGACAGGGGGCGCAGGCACACAAAAGAAAAGTTTAATTACTTGAGGATTTTCTTCCATCCAAAAATAATCTGCCCTTTGTTACATCACTGCCAGAGTCCGAGTCATTTTGCGAGACATCTGTGACTGACCAAATGCCTTTTAATTTTTATTTTAGGCTGAGGAGCACCTATGCCAGCTTACTGATTTAACGCCACTAGACAGGGGTCTAGATGACCCCACCCCTGCTGCAGGGCGAAGGGTCAATGCACTATTCCATCGAGGGGAAGAGAAACACTGCTCTCAATCAATAAAGTGGTGAAACCAAAACCAGACTGGCTTCTCTATGTGGAGCGTGGACTCCAGTAATGTTTCGACACGCTGATGTTTGCAGAAGTGTGAGCAGAGACGCCCCTCAGGGACCAAACATCCCCACCCCCCGCGCTCTGAACAAAGGGCTTGCTTACAATCCGAACTGCAATGTTCCCGAAACGTAGGTCTGCCAGTGGGCACAGTAGAACATGAACATGCCGATGAACCCGCAGAAGAACATCCAGTTGGGGTAACCACCGATGCCCACTGCGACGCATGTTCCCACCGCCACAAAAACTGCAAAAAAACCCACAAAAAACACAATGAAGACTTAGTGCAGTGCAATTTTGATCATTTAAACTTGTAAACACTCAACAATCATTGAACATTACAAGCAGATTCCCGATTTATTTACTGTCAAAGCTATGTAACATATTTAGACTCACAAAATGCACCATTATCTTGCAGTTACGCTCCTAAAATACTTTAACATATTAACTTACCATTAGGTACAGCTCTTCCTGCAATGTCACCACTGAACTACAATGCAAAAATCAAGTTGTCCAAGAAAAACTCAGGTTTTCCTCAAAGCTCTATGTCCAGGAACATTTTAAAACTAGAAGTTGCACAGGAGCCCTACCCAATGATTATACTGCACTGACCTCGCCGACATCGAATGCTTATTGCGTACCTTACCAGTGTTTGGCAAACAGCGAAGCTGTAATGTTAGGCTGAGCTGGGTCAATCTTCAATATCAAGGACAAACCCAGCTTATTCACCAGGAAAGAAAGGGTTCCATTTCTGGCAGTGAGCTGCCGGGATACAGTTTCAACTCAGAAACCCCATCTCAAGCAATTTGTGCAGACAAGTGTATTACAGGAGAAAGGATGTAATTAAGTTCATATGATTCTGCTTGAGCTGATTAATTGATGTGAATTCTCTCGCTGGAAGCTCCGATAGGAAACGGGACAGCTCACATCCAATTCATCTTGGAAGGGTATGACACAGTATTGTGACCTCTGACCTGTCTCGGAAACCAGCCATGCACAAGACGCCCGTTCTGTTTTTAATAAGGCACTAGCCATCTCTAGAACTGCTGTCTGAAGACGGGCCCGACACCACCTACACACAGCGCTCGTTTTCTGCTGGAAAGGACCGCAGCCTGGAAGGAGGCTTTTTTTTTTTACTTTCTCAGGTGAAGGCGCAGCGCCAGCTCTGTGAGCAGACAGCTAGCTGCAGTTCTCCCGAAGCTGAAAGGCGAGAGCGAGGTTACCTGTGGAGACAGCGTCACAGCCATGGTCGAAGAGCTCTCCCAGCGCCGAGCTGCTGTTCGTCCGCCGCGCCTGTTTCCCGTCGATGGCATCTAGCGACTGGTAGACGAAAAGGCCTAAGGCGCTGAGCAGGAATATCCATCCCGGGGCCTGAAATGACAAGAGACACCGCTGCACAAAGGAAACATCCCATGAGCCCCAGGGGGACAGGCCCCACCCCACATTCAAGACCTGGAAAACCCCCGGAGTCCGAGGATTCCTGGGGGAGAATAAAAGTGTTTCCGTTTGCACAGGTATCACAAAACAGCCACTCCTCAACACGGCTTCGCCCTGAAAGGGGAGGACCATGTGGCTCAGCAGGGCTGAGGACAGCACCGGGAGCACCAGGGCCCAGGGTTCGATCCCTGTGTGTGGTCCCATTGGGGAATGGGAGGCTCTGTGCCCGGCCCTGACAGAAATGCCTCCGGAACCTGGTGTCCCTCTGCCTGACACCAGCACTCATTCTTCTGAACATGGATGTTGAAAAGCTCTGAAGTTCTGAACAGGCAGCTGACGATGCCTTAGGGAGAACTGTCAGCACACCAGCGCTCGTGCGGAATGGGGACAGGTCTCTAAAGCCCATGTTCTTTGGGACTCTGAGTACTTGTGCCAGACCTTCCTGTCCCCTCGCAGGCAGAATTTCATTACCTTACCTCTCAGGTCCGAAGTACAAAACAGCCTGACTTCAAAGTGCATCTGTGTCGGACAGGAGGTCATGAAATTTCTAGTGCCAGCAGGAAGGGATTTTTTTTTACACCGTTTAGAATAGGGACACTTAACCTTCCTTCGCTGTTCGCCAAGCAGCCACTGTTTTGTCCTTGAATTTAACTTCCCAAATAAGTACAGCAGGAAATTATACGTTTCACTCTGTTCAATCTGACAGTGATTGTTATCTGTGGGCAGTGGAGAAATTGATGAAATTCTCCATTTCCTTACGCAAGTTGAAATTGTAAATAACCACAAACTCGAAAACAAGTCCCTAAAAAGCCACCATCTGCTTGCTACAGTGGAAAATTGAACCACACAAGAAAAACAAGTGTAACTGGAGAAGTCTCTGGGTAACAAACCTTTTATAATGGACCACTTATCACAGTACACAGATCTCATTGTACTGCCCAGCTAGAAAAACCTGTTTCACTGCTCTTTGTAGGATCCACACTACAATACTACGCTTAAAATCATTATTAAAAGGAGATACTTCTCTCGCCACATGTGCAGAAGCCATCACACCGTGTCAGTTTTGTCATGATGAAAGGTTTTTTTTTCTGATTTTGCCATTTTGTAGTTAACATCCTGTTATCTGACATCATACATTACCAAATGTAAGTCAAACAGATACAAACATTCCTTTGTTCCACTTTCCATTAAAGCTGTCAATGCAAATGTCAAGGATAAACACAATTTTGACCCTTACCACCCACTTGAGTGCGATATGTTTTGTGATGTGTTATAAATGTTACATGGTGTTATGTGGTATACTCTACATGTGCAATAGAGTGATGTGCAATGTGTTTCTTATTTTTTGTAATAGAATGACATGCAATGTTTTTCTTTTCTTCTTTTTTTTTTTGTTTGCATTCCATTTAAATGTACATGAGTGCCGTGTGTCCATAAAAAAAAATCCCTCAGGGGACAATAAAATCTTATCTTACGACATAGATGTTCGAGTGAGGAGCGCAGTCCGTCTGTGTTGGCCGCAGAGGAACAGGACAAGTTTACTTCGACAGTGAAAAAGAGAAAGAAGAAACCCTTTCTTGGCTGTTGAGCCTTCTTCAGCTGTGTCTGCCTCTTCAGGGTGGACTTCACCTTCATGTGTTCCAGCAGAGTACCTATACTCCCAAAACATCCCCTCCCTTGGCCTTACAGTGGAGAAGAAAAACTCCTCATTTGCCTCTCCAGCCATTCATTATTTGGGTTACAAGTATGAAAACAAATACCTGCTTCCTGCGTACACAGAAAGCACATACACTCATTACTAAGTACACCTGCAAAAGCACACCCTGCCTGATTAACTACTTAACTCCTACTAAAGCCTTAATACCGCGTCCTGACTAATACTTTGAGCTTTATAGTGGATTCCTTTCATCTGCGTTGAAATAAGCACTGAAATAAACGAACATGTAAAAATAAGAGCTAAACCTTGACTAAACTGATATTGCCGCAGAGTTAACATGTAAGTCCTGACAGTCCTATATTTTTTTTAAATAAGAGCCTCCAGAATATTTTTCCCTTTCGCAGGAATCGGCTGTGCAGTGTTCCTTTTATAGCTGAACACCTCACGAGTGGGAGGCAGTACCGATGTGACTGAGGCGTTGTTTTTTAAAAAACAAAATGGATAACTGCAAGCGCACAAGGGACGCAAAAAACACAAATTCCAAGAGATACTGTGCTTCATTTTTTCTCAATCACAGAGGACTGCTGTCTGTGGGGAACCCAGTCTTGGTGTCGGTGAGGTGGGGAATTGCAGGCTGGAAGAGACAACTTGAACGCCCTTCACTTGCAGTGGGTGTGCTGGTCACCTGTCACTGGCCACTGAGGAAGGTAGCTAAGCCCCGAGAGGGAGAGAAGGGAGAGAGACAGGGGCACCCGCCAGGGCTGACACCAGATCAAAGAGACAGGATACAGGACAGGGATTTCTATCCCGTTTTTAGCGAGGGAAAAGGCAGAAGAGGGTGAGCCTGGAGGAGAAACAGTAAGGGTCACTAAATCAGTCCACTCCTGGAATGGGGAACGTTAGTGTCGTACAATATCGGCGTGGTAATGAAGCAGCAATACGAATTTATTGAAGGTTGAGAGCTCATTTGAAGCAGTGACTTTGGTTCAGTTTCAGGCCAGGTGTACAATCCTGTCACGTCTCTGTCCTGGGATCCCAGGGTCGATGGCAACCACAGCTACAGGAACAGAAACAGACACTGGGCATCTTATCACTGCAGACCCTTGAACTGCTACGTTGCTCCTGTGTGCGTAGGAGGGCTGCAGCTCACAGTTTAGATCAGAGCTCACGAACTCGGGTAACTCCCGAAGGCAAATGCCCTCTGCTTTTTCTTTTTTGCACCATTCAGACTCCGTCACCTTAGGATTTAACTGCAGGCCAGCACTATGCCCTACTTCTAACCGGGCTCCGAGGCCTTTAAATAACTGTCTGTTTTGTAAAAGACCCGTGTCTGGTAAGTCCAGTGAATGTCTGAAGAAAATAATTAGGATAATTGTTTAATTGGCTGCTCGGGCAGGAACCCGACGGCCCTGTCTTAGACGAACAAAACAACGTTGTCCTCACTCCTTTAACTTGTATCCCACAGTGTCCCGCAACTGCAGAAAGAAGATATTCGGACTCTCATTCAAACACTTCCTAAACTGAAGGGCCTCTTTTAAACCCAGCAGACGCCTCGTCACGGGATGCCCCCTTCTCCAGTTACACCCCCGAAACGCCACCAGCAGAAAGCGCAAGGAAACGGGGCGAGGGCACGACCTCGGTTTTCGTCAGGCCGAGCTAGAAAGCGTTGTTTCACAGGAGAGGAAAAAAATAAAATAAGCTGACGAGGGTTTGCACTTCGTAAAAACCAAGGCAGTCACACACACACACACCACCAGTTGCCCCGAAAGTTACAAACAAAACAAACAAAAAAAAAAACACACACACGGCGTGGCTGCGGCTCTGCGGTCAGGAGATTCAAAGTCTCGTTTTTGGAAATAACACGACTCATCACGGCAGCTGAGACACATGCACCCCTCGACGGGGGGGGGGGGTTAGGGTGCAAGCGTTATCGGGGTCGGCTTGCGGGCTCACCTCCTCCGTGGCCGTGGGGCAGTAGTAGACGAGGATCACGGTGGTGGCGACGTTCACCAGCAGCCCGGCGATGGTGAGGGTGTTGGGGGCCACCCGCGGGGAGACCTGCTGCACCAGCCAGCTCCAGTAGACCTGGAAGGGCGGCTCGAACAGCGAGCGCCCCGCCGCGCTGTACTTGTGCTCCTCCAGGCGCTTCAGCTGCGGCGCCGAGAGGGGCTCCGGCCACGGGCAGGCCGGCATGGCTGCGGCGCTGCTCGGCTTGGACGGGCGGCGGCGCCGGGCTCTGCTCTGCGGGCTGGCGGGCGGTGCTGTAGCTCTCTCGCTTTT